GGTAATGTGCTCGGAGACTGGAAAAGAGGAAGAAAAAGGTGAAACCTGTAAGTGTGATAGAGACAGTCCTGCAAGTCAAACCTGGGGCGGGTTACGTGGTTCTGCAGGAAATGGTGGGGCTCTGCCTGCTTCTGCCAGCTGGGAAACGGGATTTCAGCTGCAACGGGGCTGTGCCGCTCTGCGGGGTCTCCTGAACTGAAACTGCCCATGCATCTGCTCTCAGCTGATCTTTGCTTTTGTTAACTGATTCTCAATATGCCCATAGCAATGCTTTGGTTAAAATAAACCAGTGATTTAATTCTTGGTTTAACTTCTAAGTTAGTCCAGCAAAGTTTTCAGTGTTACAAGGACATTACAAGTCCCATTAAGCAAAGCAAAATAAGCTTTAGCCTGAACATTAGTCTAGCCACAGTGAGTTACCATATAAAGGCATAGTTCTTAAATGTACCCAGCTCTTCCACTCGATTCATGTTTCAGCACAGTATCACACCATAGATTCAACAAACATAGATCATTTTAAATGGACAGCTATGTACAAAACTATGATACAATGTTATTACAAAACTTGAGAAATAAAGCTCTGAATTTTGAAAACACAATACGGCACATTCCCAGTTTTAAAGCAAAAGGAACATGAACCTACACATTCTGCAGCTTGAACACAAAGACTTCTGAGTGCAAGCAGCTGACAATGGCATTCAAACCCAGAGATTTACTAAAGGATGAGCTGAAAATGTGTCCAATAGAGCACTCTGGAAAACCTCTTTCTGGTGCTTTAATAACAGGAACTGGGGCCCTGGTTCTCCAAAAGTTGATGGACACATCTGTGCATGTGAGAAGACTACTGCAAGACTACTGATGAGCTTCAACTTAATTGCACAGAAGCGTCATGTAGGAACCAGACACTGTTTATGTGGCCATATGCTTACTAAAATACATACCTTTTTTTTTTTTTTTTTACTTTTTTCCCCCTATAACCGATTTCCCTTGCTTTAAATGATTGAGAGTAAAAACACATTTGTCTGATCTGGCTCTTGGACCTGGTCCAATATAAATCGTCAGTGGGCGATGAGAAGGAGGAGTAACACACTTCCACCTGTGGTGGTACAGCCACTGCTTAATTTATAACCTTAATTTAGTTGAGGCACTGCTATTTTTTTAATTTTTCTGAGGGCTAAACACTGCGGTCCTTTCTTGGGCCACTCTCAGCTGTTGTTTGAAGAGGAGTTTGGCCTAAGAGCAGGTTGAAAAACTCGGCTTTGAGGACAGTGGGCAAGAGGTCTGTCCCTTTCACACCGCCAGGCGCAGAACCAGCCCCCGGCCCCGTGGGCCCCCGGTGTAAGGCACGGGACAAGGTGGCCAAAGTCTCCGGGGAGGCTCTTTGGGTCTCGGGGAGGGGAACGAAAGGAGGAGAAGCGATGCGTCCCGGTGGGGCAGAGGTGACCACGGTGGTGTTTCAGCGATGCAGAACCCGGCTTCTGAGAAGCTGGCAGCACTCCGGGGACGTGTGAGCGGGTCACTGGGGCTCTGTTAGCCGTGACACCTGCAGGAGGAGGGGGAAATGCAAATTATTTGCAGCTATAAAATGAAAGCAGTGTGATTTTGCGTGTGTGTATCTAATGGTCGGGGTGCTACTAGGGAAACCAGTTTCACATAATCTAAAAACAGGTAGAGCTAAATCTTTATGTACTTAATAAAAAACTCATGTTTCCAGAACTATCCTGATGTTCAAGAGTTTGGGCAACTTGGCTTTTGAGCTGGGCACTAGTTCAGTCCAACAACGTGAGTCTTGTGTTTTCCAAGCAGAATATTGGAATATGCTTCCAGATATTAAATTGTTGAACTTACAAAACCTAGAGGATTTAGCAGGACTGTCAGAAGGATGGGGTGGCACACTGTCATTTTCAAGGGCCTGTCTCACTCCATAACCAAAGCAAATACCATTTCTAATGACAGACATGAAGGCAAAGGAATACATCCTTCCGTATAGGAAGATGAGCATTAGCTTGATTACATTCTCGTCGTCCATTAGAAAACTGCCCACAGACAGTACTGAGTCTGCAGAAGGGGAGGTGAAGCATCTGGTTCTCTAGAATGAAAGGAAAACAATGAAAAAAAAAAAAAAGAAGGAAAACCTTGACTCTCAAATCCTGCTGTCTTTTTGCAGGGGGAAGCTGACGTCCCACTGTGCCACGTGCATGTCATAGCTGCTGGCAGGCACGCTGTGTCCCCTCTGCCCCCTCCCTCCCTCCTCACCAGGCTGCGGTCTTGGAGCACTGGCCTATGCTCTCCGTTTTGTTTGTTCTTTTATTTTCTAGGGAATAAATCAAGTAGATTTGTGAGCAGGGAAATTGCCAAAGCCTGGTTCCTAATGGACTTGTGCTTTCAAGCCTTTTGTTTCCCGTAACCTTTCTAAGTGACATAAAGATGGCAGGAGAGGAAAAAGGGAGTTGCATGAACAGACATGAACATTTGTCTGTAGTGATTCACTAAGGTCTAAGACAAGGGAACTCAAACGGCATCTCCCCTGCGTCCAGGCATTTGTACCGTCCCTCCTCTGTTTGACTGTCAGCTTCTGTTAAATGGTCCTTCTTCAAGCTCTTTTCAGATTTGGTTGGAAATGAGTTCAGATGTTACCAGCACACATATGAACACAGTGTGCCCACCAGTGCCTTGATTCCATGGGAAAACAGGCTTAACTATTTCTTTCAGGAACATCGAGATAATGTGGGATACCACTCTTCGGGTGTAAAAGTTGACATTTAAAGAACATTAACATTAATACAGAAGTTGCTGCGTAACAAGATATAGTCAAGGTGAGGCAAGAGCTCAGTAGCTGATTACAACAGTCTTTTATTGCTCTGAAATATTATTTCATAGAGTCATGGACTGTTCCTGGCCTTACTCTGCTGATGTTACAGAAGCTCTAAAAACTGATACGGGGATCAAGTCTTATCCCCGCAGCTGGATCTGCACAAGAAGGAAGAAGATTCCTGCAGCTTCACTGAGACCCAGCAACTTCCACATCCAGCAAATCCGCCAGAGAGAGAAATACCCTGTTCCAAAAGAGAACTGGTGGTCTGACCTGAACAGATCATGTGCACTTGGGACAATAAATAAAAGGAAAAAAAAATGAGGTGGAACATCCTAGGAAAAAATATTGATGGGGAGCACTCTAGGCTTGCTGAGTCTGTCGTATCAAGAGGGACAGACTTGAGCTGCATTTGGGTGAGGAAGCACTGCAGCTGGACACTAAGAGAAGCAAACGAATTTTTGTTTCCTCTAACCTTTCCAAGTGACATAAAGATGGGAGCAGAGGAAAAAAGGAATTGCAGGTTTCAAGGTGCAGCTCGTCTCTGCCCTCCCGGCACCGAAGCACAGCCGGGCGCTGCCGGCGCGATGCGGCTGTGCCAGGCGCTGCATTTCAAGGATGCGCTGAAACTCCTGCCTGACTCGGTCACTTCATAAAGGTACTGCTTGTCCACGCATTCCTCTATATTGCTTTCCTATGTCTTCTAAGGGGAATTCAAAGCTGTCTGCGTCTCTATTTTTTCCAAATATGACTTTTTTTAAGCCTGCATCCTGGAATTCCTGTGCTTGAAACATACATAATCCCAGTTACACTTAACTCACAGTTTCAGCTGCCCTCCCTGTGCAGCATAACCACTGATCCTGACAGATTTCTTACCTGTGCCTCGCTGCTACTATTTTCTGCTCTTGCTGCAAATCTTCCTTAGGATTTTTAAACCAACAGAGCTACTTCCCTTTTCCACTTGATGTAGCCCTGTGGTACAGTATAGAAAGGGCCAAGAGGAGGGCAGGAGTGGTCAGGACTGTAACTACCCCATTTATATCTCCTTTTCTCTTGCTAGCAATGATGCTTCAGGTGCAGGAACAAAAGCAACCCTGTGTGGAAATCCCACAGAGATTTCTCTGTTCTACCACCCCAGGAGCTGGGGCCGCCAGGCTGCACGGAAGCAGGGCTCCCAGCCGGGCTCCCAGCCCCAGGCACTGGGGATACTGGAGTATAAACACGTGCCTTTCAGGAAACGAGACAGTAAGAGATTTGACATTATTGGTTCAGTTCATAAGAGATACTCATCAGCATGGAAAGGACAATGTGTAACTATGCAATTTCAGTGCAGTGGGTGTTTCGATTGTTTCTTTTTCTTGCTTTTCTTTCCACTTGCTGTAAAATCAGGCAAAGTTTTGCAAATGAAAGTCCCATCCTGAAACTCTTTAAGTTTTCTTTTGAGGGGCAATTGTATGTTGCCAGCATCAATGAAGGATGCAGGGAACTTGGTACACAGAAACACTAGAAATTGGGTTTACCTGTATTATTTTTTGGGGGGAACAAAAGCCAAATTACACTCCCACCCCCATCCCAGAAAGCTGCATGAATGCACATAAGAAGTATGCACGGTCTGTTTGCTCCAACGGACTACTCCGTATGCAACTCTGGAACTGAATTTGGCTTTGAGTTGGAGCTGGTATATTGCCCCAACTAGTACTTCTCCCCAGGTCCAGTGTTTTATTCCCTTTTCCAGATACTTATATTTAAACGGTGCTGTAGGAAGTGGCTACCTGCAAGCAAAGCAAACATTGTTCTTCGCAGGAGGTAGGTACTGAAATTGCATTTTTACAGTTTTTGAGAAAATAATGGGATCAAAGCAAGGACTTTGTTTATCACATGAAGTTGGATTCACTTGGTTAGAATAATGACTTTTAATTATCCGCAGGGAAAGGCAGTTTGGCTGCTAACAGAGAGGACAAACATGTGGGTTGTGACCCTGTGTCGAGGGGAGATCAGCACTGACTCCACTCAACACAAGATCAACACCCTGGAGAGTAAAAATCAGCGTAACAAATTTATTTTACATGTATTTGTGATTAGACACAAAGACAAAAAGCTTAGCTGATACGCTGAATACCGATTAGGTCTGTAAAGTCCCAATGCTGTTGTTAGTTCACATAAAAACACCTTTGTGAGTTTACATACCTCATTGTACCACACAACCTTTTTTTGGTTTATTATCTCCAGTATCAGTCTCAACCTCTGCTTTTAAACAAAAGAGAGACACTAAATATAGCTGATCATGGCAAGGCAAAAGTAACAACAGGGAACTTTTTACAATGAAAGCATTGTCTAGTAGCAGAGAGGTTCCTAAGGTGCCATCCCTGGATGCCCAGGGAGCCCCGGGGCTTTTAGGGGGGGTCGGTTCCTTAAGCCAGAAATACTTTTTCGGATTTCGGACGTCAGGAAAGCATCACCACAGCTGGGAGAGTGGGGTGCTCCCATTGCTGCAGCTCCTCCTGCTGCCTCCTGGGACGCAAGTTTGGGAACCACTGCGCCGGGAAACCACTTCTGGTTTGTGGCTTGTTTTTTAACTAGGTGAAAGTGGCATGTTTAGAAACATAAATAACTACAGCCCCAGGGCATGCCGGCGTTATAAGGGTAAGTCCCTTTGTGGTAGATGCTGAACCTATGCCGTCTTTCTCAGCAGTGGGTATTCAAACCCTCCTTTCCTTTCCTTTCTCCTCCGCTTTCCTTGGAAGGAAAACATTACACATTGATAAAAAGAGACTTCCACCACTTTCCTGCCCATTTGTTTGACCCCAGAATCTTGCAGAAAACAGGCTTTGGACAGTATATTGCATCTTTCTAAAGGCTGACAGACCCATGTGTCTTCCCTATGAGGCACCTCTTATTTGGGATTAAAGTACCCACCCAAGGGCGGCTTCAGCTCGGTAGAGTCTGAGGGACGTGGATGCACTTCCCAGGTTTGGGACTGGCTGTGGACATTCGCCGTGAAGCGCAGACCTGGGTGGCTCCACGCCTCCGGCGGCCGAGCTCTCTCCCGGCACCAGTGGGGCAGCCCAGCGCGAGGGACCGATTCGGCTGGCCAAATATGATCCTTCGCACAAGCATCAGCAAGATGCTCTTTTTTAATTGTTGGCTTTCTCCCCTCACCCTGCAGCGATGGCTTGAGGGCCTGATGTTCAGAAGCCACCTGAAGTACCCCTGGGGCAGGCTGTCAAGTCACTGCAGGCGAAGTGCTCTTGCAACGAGGTTTGGGAGAAGAAAAACCAAACAACCCCACGGCAGCGCCGATATTGCTGGTTTTATGTGTTTGTAAGTAGTTGAGAGGGGGTGATCACTGATTAAGTACCCAGTATTAACTGCTCTTAATCACTGCTCTGGAGTCTAATGGAGCTCTTGTTTACACATAACCGTGCCTTGTAGCTGTCATTAGCACACTTGACAGATGTGCTTATTGCCATCTTTACTGCGTATGTGTAACGGGCTTTTTAATTATTGATTCATCATTACCCCTTTATAAACTACTTATAAACGCCAAGAGAATGAACAATGCTTGTGTTTTTCTTTTTAAATCTCTTTCGGGTTTAAAAAAAATAACAGCTCCATGAAACAGCGTGGCTCTAGGGGCGGGGGGCATTGGACCTCAAAGTGGGGAGAAACAGATATATACAAATATATGAGGAAGCCTCCCCAGTTTAACTCAGTCCCCGAGGGCTATATATGAAATAGGCTACCTGAGTAGCTTTTGCTGTGCCTCTTCTTCTTCCTCCGTTTCCCAGATGGCCTCTGCTTTTCCCTGTCGGTGTGAGTTTGCCCTGGGGGGAGTGTTGCCGAACAAGAGGAGTCGGTGGCTGGCTCCTCCGAGAAGGACTTCTCTTGAGAGGTGTCCAACAGCGAGTCTGTACCAGGGTCTTCATTTTCCTTCGCCATCTCTTTCAACTCTGCCAGATGAGCCTCATCGCAGGCAGCGGACTGAGTGCTGCCAGAGTCGACCCCCGTCTCGCTCACCCGGGTTTCTGGCTCCTGTGCCAGCCTGTAGCTCTCTGAGCCATCAGCTGGGCATTCCTTGTCCTGGCCTTCTGAGATGGACCCGTTGAGCTGGTCTCTCAGAGCAGTGCCCGAACTGCTGCTCCCAAACCTTATCCCCGTGCCTATGTTAGCAGCAGAGAAGGCAATGGAGCTGCTCTTTGTGCTCAGCTGGAGGCTTGCCCAGCTGTCTGCCTGCTTCATCCCAGTGCCCGGCATGGGCTGACCGGCCCCGTCAGCTTCCACCAAGCTTACTGAAGGGCTTTCCGTCCAGGATTCTGGTGGCAAATTTCCTCCAGCATTGTTTTTAGATAACGCCTGGTTTGAAGCTGAGGCATTTGTAGCATCTCCACCCATCTCCATCAGAGCAGCAGTTGAGGCGGGAGTGCTTTCTGAGGGATGACCATCGTTGTTTTGCTTGGTCTTATCATTGATCTGCTTTCCTGCTCCTTGTGGATCCTTAATGCTCTTTCCTTTAAATAAAAAACATGCAATCAGCCACAGCTGCAGAGCTGCACCTGGAATCAACCAAGGTGCTTCTGCCACTGGGAGAGGTTACAAGCTAGCAGCTGCCTGTGAAGGGTGCACTGACTCTAACGCAGCTATGCGGAGGCAGCACCATTTTATCCTCCCTATACCTCCCCTCCTTATACCCCGTATGGTCAACCCAGTTGGACACCAAGGCTCCGTCTCAGGAAAGCCCCTGCTCTGTTTTCAGCAGGTGTTTATGTGTCTTTATTGCCAACCGGCTGATTTCCATGGAAGCCCCCAGTATCGCAACGGTGCCTGAAAGCCTATGGCAGGAAGAGGGAACCCACCTGTGAGGTCCTGAACCAGGTGGGACTGCTGGCTTGGCTGCATGAGGACTGCTGGCCCATCAGGCCTAATCCTGCCCTTGCAGAGCAGGTTTAGGAGAGCCACAGTGCATAAGTCAGGCTCTATGGTAGGCCAATGTCCTTCAACTTTATCTAATACGCACTGACACCAAGGTCAAGAGACCAAAGAAAAGCTAAACCCATGGGCTGTCTCCTAAAAAGCACCTAAAGGACTTGGGTCCTTCTGCAAATAGGGTTTTCTAGTCTTTAGACTCCCAAATGTAGAGTAAGACAGGGCGCAGCAGTCTCCGGCAGTGACCAGCTGTGCTACTGAGACTCGATAGCACGGAGGGGTCTTGTGTGGGGATGACACCAGTGCTCCATCAGCATGGTACCCATGGGCCGTGCCTCTCAGAGGGTTTATCAGCGCAGGTGCAAGGCCATGCTGCTCCAAATTGCTGCCAATTCCAGGGCAGACTTGGCTGACAACAGCTTAGGGCTCTCTACTCCTCTTCTCCACAGCACTGGCTGCAGAGCGTCCTTAAATAAATGTCCCAAATGCAAACACGAAGGCTTCTTGCTTATGTGCTTGGCTCAGGCTCAGGGGCAGATGGGAATGAATAGCTGCAGGTACAGTCGGGTCTGTGTCCTTACCAGACTGGCTCTCCTCTGGGCTCTCTGCAGGTGAGGTTTTAGGAAGTGCATCCGACTCATGTCTGTTCTTTGTCTTTCTCAGCGTGAACCCTTTCCTTATGTCAGCCAGCAGCGCATCGATGACGCACACCTCCTCCTGCTTCACCACCCCCTTCTTAACTGGGATAGAGAGAGAGAGACGGGCGTTAAATCTGCCCATGAGATGGGGCAGAAGGACACTTTGCAGTGATGCTATTGCCTGGGGCAGGTACTGCTGTCCCAGTATAAGCAACCACTGGGCAAAAGCAAGGCACCGATGCCCGGCCTGGGAGCAGCCCATGCTCCGTGCCCCTGCAGCAGCGTGTCCTGGCTGAAGCCAAAGGGTCTATCCGAAAGCCTGGGTGCTCCAGGCTGGCATCAGTGGCCCTAGCTCTGCTCGTCCTTGTGCCTGGTTGTACCAAGTCCTTGAAACTCCTCCTGTTTGCTATCTGTGTTGGTGGGGGCCTTTTTTTTGGGGGTGGGGGGGGATGGAGGGAAAATGATCTTTATTTTTCTTTCCACTCAGCTTCTTCCAATTATACTTTGCAGTTGTGCGTTTTGTTTTCATCCAGAGAAAGGCAGATGCAAGTTATCTGCGAGATTCTGGGGATGTCAGTAGTCTCTGGTAAAGAGACACTATTCAAGTGTATATGGGGATTTTCCCGGGGGAAGAAGTAAAATCTTTCTTGTTAGATTTGGGATTCAAAAGTTATGTTTAGAAACTGAAAAAGTTAACTGAAATGTTTCGATTTGATTTTTTTTCCTCTGCTGTTCAGTCAGCAAACCTAAAATTAACTTCTCTGCCCAGCTGCAACTGTGAAAAGTCAATTCTTAGCTATGGCTGCAAGACACCTAAAAGCCTTTAGTCAGCCAGCGCCTGGAAACCCACAAAATAAATTACTAGTACTGGTCCATTAAAGCAGGACCAGCAAAGAGCTCCTGTCGGCTCTCCCAGCCAATTTGGGATCGCAAGTCCATCTCTCTTTTTTGAAGCCCTTTCAGATACTCACTGACTTTTCCATTTTCTCCCTTCTGTCTCTTCCCCTCTTCTTCTTCCAGCTGTTTCTTCCTCTTCTCTGCTTTGGCAGCTTGCTCCTTTCTGTCCTTGTTTTCCTGCAGTGAGGTAAGAGGGACATAAGAAGGTTGGCTAAATGTCTGCTAGAAAAGTCAATGAAGAGAAAGATGATCTGCGGATGGTTGCAAAGGAGGAAGAGAAATTCTGGCCTAATCCTGTGCAATAAATAAAATGGGCATGGGGAGTAAGGACTGTGTTGCCAAGAGGGTGAGAGGGACACTGCTGGCTTGGCCGGGACTCCGCCACATCTGAGTAGGAGGTGGCAGCGGTGATCTGCCTAACACAGCTACCTACCAGCGTGCAGATCTTCTGCCTGACCTTTAGCTGAGGCAAAAGCGGAAGGTACCGAACCCACAATTTCCTCCAAACTGGTGGCTTTTTTACTACACATCCGCTTTCTGAGTCTTTTTGCTCAGGCTGGAGTAAATGGTTAAATTTTATAAGCCTGTTGCTCTAAAACTGACAGACTTGACTCCAAAGCATCTTTGTGACTCTGCAGCTACAGCTGCACTGAAATCACAAACCACCATGGTCTGGGCCAGGCCAGGAGCACCAGCACTGCATGAGGATGCAGTGGAGCAGGAATCAGACACCCCTTCCCCAGGTGACCTCATGCCAGGTGCTGAGAGGAGGAGGCCGTAACCAGCATCTTCCCCCCACCGGATTCGGGTGCCTGTCCCACCTCTGTCTGTTGGAGCAGAGGCATGCATCAGTACTAGGGATGCTCAGCATCACGTGTGCAGACGCCAACCTTCAGGGCTCGGATGAAGAGATCTCTGAAGGTCTTCATGGTGCTAAATATGTCCTCTAAGGACAACTTGCTTGGGTCTTCACATAGATAATTTGCAAGTTCTTCTCTCTTTCTTTCAATGGTTTCAAATTCTTCTTCCAGCTTTCTGGAGGCATCAATGCTATCCTGAAATGCATTTAATATACACAGTAAAACACCATCCAGAGGACAATGAGTGAAGTGCACTTAAAGAAAAAAGGATGTCAACATAAGAGCTTCGAGCAGGGCTCTGGAGCCCCAGCCTTTAACTCCAGCAGAGCTTATGGTGTGGGAAGAAACTGAGATTTGGAGATGATCTTTGCTCCTGGTGACTGTGCTAATGCAGTTTACAGGGGTGGCTTAAGCAAGACATGGAAAGCTCAACGCAAAGCTTAACCCCAAAAGAAGGGCTTTACTCTGGTGATCCACACCGAGGGTGAACATCTTCATTCAAAGTGAGGAGCAACACAACAGAGTGGAGAAAGTAGTTGGGGCAGGGGCCTTAAGAAATGGACTCACCAAAGGTATCTAGGTTTGGGGTGGAGCTGGTAAATAGACACCAATGGGTTGTGTGGCATTGCAGCCCATTTCCAAATCTGAGAGCATGTCTTGCAGCAATGTTTTCCACCCTCTCATGAGCCTCCTCAGCTGCGTATGTACTGTGTACTGCCTTTGTGTGTGTAATGGGGGAGATATAAGGGAGCTCCATTACTGACCTGGATAGGTTTCTCATACTGTTGTTTCACATCATCGTTTGATGATAAAATCTTTCGCTGAAGCTCCAGCAACTTCTTTAAATTGGTATTGGACTCTGTGCGTATAATATCAAGATTAATTCTGAAATCACACAGAACCCCACCATTAGTTGACACTCCAGCATCCTGCGCTGACCAAAGAGTGGACAAGTCTGAGCTGGTGGTTTGGTTGTCCCTCTGCTTCCCACCACTTCACTGAACTGAAACCTGAGCTCTGAACTCTGTACAGTCCAAGCTCATGGAAAACAGCCTCGCTCCACAGCACTTACGAAAAGGCTGCCAGGTCTACCTACAACTTTGTGTATTGAGTAGATGAATGCCCCCAAAGAAGTCCACCCATTCAAAGGGCTGTTCTCCACCCTCAGAGCTTGGCATTAGCTCACTTTCCGTGGTTGCAGGCACTTCAGAAACGCTTCTGGGTAGCTGGCCTTCACAAGCTCCTGCTACCACAAAGGCAGTGCAGATTTTGGAAGGGCCTGGGAGGCAACATTTACTGAATGCTCTGCAAATTTCAGCCCTAAGTGTTGCCAGCTGTAGTAGAACTATTATATATTACAGGGGTTTCAACATTCATCAACCAAATCTTTCAGTTAAAACTAAGTAAGATGCCATCTTGTTAATGTACTATATCAGCTGCGTGTGTCCTAATTTCTGGTACGTTGTTGATGTGTATGGGATTTATTTTTGTTTTTAGTTCAAAGGAAGTGACACACAATTTTACCCTGCTGCTTTTGAAACATATTCAAGATCCTTTGGCAGTTCCAGTAGGTCCGTGTGGCTGTTTTCTACTTCCTAAAGCGGAAGAGAGAAAGAAGTGTTATTTGCTGTTATGGCAGGAGCTGAGAGAGGAAGCTGGGGGGAAGAGACACGGGCAGAAGTGCTCGGGAAGGATGACTGCGCTATGTCCTGCTGCTGCCCTCCTCTGCAGTTTGCTTTTTCTCACAGAGCTGAGCTGCATTCAAAAGAGGATGGCACGTTCAGAGAGGGAAGGCATTGCTCCCAGGCTATAAAAACATACAAGAGGGCTGAATGTTGAGAAATACTCATAGTTCAAGGCAAAGCTGACCTGCTGCTGAGCTCTTCTTCTACCCTCTTCTGAAACACCTACTGTTGGCAACAGGAGGAGGCAGGTCTGTGGTCTGATGCAGTCTGACACTTCCTACAGTCTCAGGAGAGTATCAAAAGGGCTTGAATCTTATTTGCATAATTTACTTTCATGGCTGTGCTTGCTGAAGCTACTGCCAGCCAAAGCGGGGCTTGAACATGCATAACCGGAATGGAGGGACCTTGGTGAATGAAGGCAGAGCAGAGCATGGAGAAAAAAGGAAAAAAGAGAATTGCAGGGAACAAGAAAGCCATGGCGGCTTGGAGACGAGCATGAAAAGCTTGAGCATAGTCTGGTGGAAAAGGGAAAGGCGATGGAAAGGCAGAAGGGCTGAATGGGTATAGACCAGCCAGGATAGCTTTGTAGCCATGCGCTCTGCGGTTTGCAGCTGATGATGTGCAGATCGCACAAACATGAAAAAAGAAGTTCCAGCCATTGCTGGGAAAGATGCTGGAAGAAAGCAGAACAAGTCTTAAAATAAGGAGCTTCCTGAGTAGTTCCCACAAGCAACCTTCACCAGCCTAAGTGATTCAAATGTTCTCAACTTGTGACACTCTGCGGCTAGCCAGGGAGGATATGAATACGAGCGTGTGGCATTAACTGAAAGTAGAGTAAGAGAAATGGTTCATCCGTGATAAAATCCTCCCCCTTCCCTATTGCCCAGGACTTGGCAGTGGTACCTCCAGAATATGGTGGAGCAGCGTAATGCGGGTTTGGTTTGCTTTGGTTTCTGTTAGTTTGAGTAAAGTGCTGATTTTAAACCCATCGGCATCACCCGTGTGACTTCCCTACAAAACAGAAAGAAAGCAGATGTAACTCCTGTGTCCACCCAAATTACAATCTTAAAGGAGATCATACTGTAATGGGGGGAGGACAAGATAAAAGAAGTCCTTACGTAGTTCAGAAAGTTTCCAACTTTGAGAATCAGTTGACAAAAGAGCGGCAGGCGATGACTGTTCAGAAGATCTGAAAAACAAAAGCCTCTGTTACACCAGAACATTTCCTAAACTGCATTGAAATTGGGATTCTGAATTCCACCAAACCAAATCTGATACTTCAGCTTCGCAGCCCAATGGCCCAACCTGCAGAGAAACTGCTTCTACATAGATTCAATTCCAAGAGTTGTAAAAGTTTTTGTTGACTTACGTTTCTTTCTTTCTTTACATCTGGTCTCTCATTCCTAATGGAAAATAACCTGGAGCTGGACCCTCCTCACTAACAGCCATCAACTCGCTGCCTTCCTTGGAAATACCCCGATTTACCCTGGTGTGGGTGAGGGTAACTGGGCTCCAGTTTAATCTTGCAGACTCCATTCAGCTGTGCTGTGAAGCCTGTTCTGACAGTCCTGCGATTATCTGCCAGCTGCTAAAACCAGACACGCTTGCCCTGTTCTTGGTCTCGCATGGTGGAGGTGATTATCAGGGCATGAAGGGTACAGTCCCTGTCCTTGCTCTTACGACAGGGTGCTGCAGTGGTGTGCTTTCTGAAGCACTCAGCTTTGAGGCAGGAACAGCTCCAAAAGGACAACTGGGCTGCTGGGAAGACACTTTTTGGGGGAAGCTTCAATTTATTCCAGCAGGCAGCTGTAATGCCAGATGGAGAAACCCCCGGCAGCAGCTGGGGGAACCGGCTCTGTAGGACAGGCAGCACTTGACAGTGCCAAGAAGAGCATCGTGCTCTCAGTGGAGTGGGACCTGAGGTTTCTGCCACAGAAAGCCGAAATCTATTGCATAATCTCTCCATGTACTCATAAAATTGGAGCATCAGCAATTTATAGCCCAAAATAACAAACTTTTTCTTCTGGTTCCATTTATAGGCAGGGAATGACTAAAGCATCACTACTTTCTGGGGGAAGTTTGGGGTGTGCTTTTCTGGCAGCGGAGAAAATTGCTGTGTGAAGGTCTTAACGTGGCAAATAATGCTGGATGAATTAGCTGTAACAGGGCTAGCTCTGCTGTCTAAATTCAGCTCCTTTGAAAGGGCTGACAAGTTTCCAATGCTTCACTGTTGAAAGTGTTTCAGAGGAATACAGCTGCTGCAGAAAAAGAGGCCTGAGGGTGAGGGAAAATGATCTCTGGTCCTATTAAGGGCTTTGACCATCAGTGGAGATACATAAAGCTGCATCCCGTATTCTGCAGCGAACCAGTGAATGGACCACATTTTTGGGGGGCTGGGTAGACTTTGGGGAGTTTTTGGGGGGTTTACAGCTTCCTGTCATAGATAAGATCCAGAAGTAAGGTCAGGTCATTTACCTTCGCAGGCTCTCCGGATGGCTTCAGCTTTCGGCTGAATCATGTCCAGCACAACGGTGGTCTCTTCACAGATCAGCATACATTCAATGCGCAGCTGGTAGCTAAGGACAGAGATTGATTCAACGCATAAAGGCACTGTGATCTTGGCCAGCACAGTGGCCCTCTTCCTACATCACCAGTGAGTCTGGCAACCCCACAATATGGCTGTCAACCACATCCACATCAAACCAGTGTCTGTGGCTTGTGGAGGGAGGCGAGGGGCTGCTGCTTGCCTTGGGGACCAGCAGGGATGTAGTTTCTGCTGACGCACTGTGATCAGCAAAGAGAAGACTGACCACCGTCTGGGATATGGGGTCCCCCTTCTTGGCATTGCGTTTGGCACTGCCTTTCAGTAAGTTATGTGGCTTCCTTGGGCAGGTCTGACCCTGGGTCTGGGCCAGCTTCTGCTACTTCAGAGGGAGAGGAGGTCCTGGAGCAGCAACAGCCCGTCATCTAAGGGTAAGGGGGAATGGATGGCTCTACGGTGGAACGGGGGAATCCACCAGCTACATCCATCAGTGTCTGTCTGTGAGGCTCCTACAAAGAAACTTAAACTTCCCAGAGGTAAACCCAGAAAAAAATTGGGCTGAAGTTCATGACCAACACCCTACCTGGGAATTTGAAGAAGGAGAAGATAAAACTGATCTGCATTTGCAAGCTTTGATTTCTCTTCTTTGAAGGCCTTCAAGTTTTCTATCTAATGAGAAATAAAGAATCAAGAATGCAGGACTGCACTGCGTGTTCAACTCTGTGAAGTAAGGGTACCATTTTTCCTCCTGACCTCATGCTTTTCAGGCAGAAGCTTCAGCAACTGCTTCAGAACCTCAACATCGAACTTGGTCCGGTCCCCATTCTGGACCATGGCAGCCACCTCTTCGTTGGAGCTGCAGGGAGGAGAAGCAGAGTCAGCCGTCACCCAAAGGCCCCTCTTCCTCAGTCACACGCTACCGAGACATGTATCTGTGCAAGCACTTTCTCTCCAGTGAGAGCCACAATAATCCAAAATGAAAGATATGTCCCCGCGTAACTCAGAATCAGGACCTGGATCCCTGTTATGCCCCAAATTTTGTTTCTGGCCCTGGTCTAATGACTCAAGGCTGGAGATCAATCCTGCAACTCAGATGACTGTCTCTGGGCATTTGATTACATTAAAAAAAAATCTTTCATTCGTAACTTCTCCATTGGCCCTGTTTTGAGGAGGGGTTCAACCTCCAGAGGTGTCTCACAGCCTAAGTCACCCTAAGAGTTTGTGCCACAACTTACTTTATCTGTCACATGGAGATGTAACGCCTTTTCCAACTTACAGGGATGTTGTAGGTAAAAATTCAATTAAACCCCTAAACCCAGTATTTTAAAGACAGTATAGGAGAAACTGGGAAATGTTCCGATGTTTCAGTAACGCAGACTACCAAAGCACATTGGCTAGAGTAGATTTCATGAGGACCTTCCAGATACTATCCAAAACCTGCTCAAAGTTTTGTCAACTGTCACAAAAATTGGCCATATCTTACCATTTAAATTGCTTCAAAAATATGTTCAAATTGAGACTTTTCTTGGAGTCCAAAAATGTGATCTTCATTAAAGAAAAAGAAGATATCTCGTATTAGATGAGCTGTCTGCAGTGATCTTTATGCGAAAGAACGAGAGGGATCTCCTCACCTCCTTTGGTTCTGCCTTCACTGGTGCAGCCGTTTTCTCCTTGGGGGTTGGTTGTGGAAAGCAAAACAGCTGCTCTATGCTTGTGTAATTGGGCTCTATAGTTTCCTCGCTGCTGCTGCTCACTGAAGCCCACATTGAGTGACTTTCTGAAAAAAGACAAGGTATTCAGACTGGCTACAGGGACAGCTAAAAGTTCCTAGCTTTTGGGGCAACGTGAGTTGCTAGAAGGGACACTTCTCAAAAGATGAATGAAATAAGAAGTGACATATTAGTGCTGAACAAATGCTAACTATTTAGGAGACACAAGTCCCACAAGCAGGATCCAAGGGGCCTAAAGGGTAATTAAATCTGGTGCTCTACCCCAGGATGCGCTGGTAAGGGGATGCAGCACTGGGCACACAGAGGCCATACAGCCCCATCCCTCCCTATACAACTGCATTCTCCTCCACGGTAGGCAAACCGGATCAGCATGAGAAGGACCTCATCCATTTCTTTCCTAGTCCCATGGCTGATGTTATTTTTGCTTCCTTGCACGCTAGTTGAGGGATTGGCCACAACCTGGACATTTTCTGACTGTGGCCTTCCTCCATTTTTCATTTTATAATTGAGCCTCCTTGTATAATGCCGGCTATAGGACTGCTTGAATTAATTCCCACTGCACTTTCTTAAAAATCTTTTTTTAAAGAAACAAACATCACCCAATGTGCCTTTAGAAGTCTCTACTGAAATAATCCCAACAATTAACGGCTCCTGCCTTATTTAGACTTCACCTATGCCAACTTCCATGAAGTGGATGCCTTGCTTGTCTAGGACAAAGCTGACGTTGCCTGTCCTAGCTTCTTCTCACATTTCATGCTTCTCTTTGGGTCCGCTAGGACAGGGAAACGTAAGCCAAAAATCAAGAGACAAGTCAAGGATTCCCATGGCTCTCCAATTCTTCAATGTCCTTCTTGAACTGTGATGTGATCCTTACCTGCACTCTTACTCATGACTTTGATATACCCAGATGTAAGTATAGATGAATTCGAGAATGAAAGTCTGGGGAATCCAGATCAGAGCCTGTTGAGAACTCAAGCCTAAGGCATGTCACGGTGGATTAGGGAAATGTTCACATCCCTCCCCCTTCTTTTAATTTCAAAGTATTTTAGTTATAAACAGGCTATTCCAAACTACTGATTTAGTTGGAATGGTTATTATATTATATTAGTAATTTCACGCCACTTTTATTTATTTAAGCTCTGCAGGTCAGATGTAATAGAAATCAGGGAAGTTTTGTATCTAAATGGAGTCAACCACATTTGACAAACTCAAAGACAGTGTTTTCTCCCCTGGGTCACCCCTAAAGCAGCAGTGACTTTATGACAGAAGCACCCACCTCTCACCACGTTGGAGGGCAGCTTCTGCCAATTCAGCTTCTTCATTCTCAACGTTGGCGTCTTCACCGTCTTGTGGGGAGGCCTGCCCGAGC